ATTAAATATACAGGCCTGACAGGGGGTATTACATCGATCTATTGACACCTGACTCTGATACACATATCTACATTATCATATAGAGCTTACTGTAAAAACCAGTACATCTGATCTAATAAGGAAATGGTCGAGTGGTATACTCATTTTCATTACGTAATGAATATTTTCAGCATTAGTGCATGGAACGGTACTTTTGGCAGTATTGGCTAACCATCTCAGTCTTTTAGTCACTGAAGTTTCTTTATTTTAATCAGTTATGTTATTTATTGCCATCTGGAGCATATGGACAAAAAGAGATAAAAGTGTATTTAACCTTCTAGAATCACATATAAAGGACATAAAGTGTACTTATCATGAATCAAAGCCTTTAATCATGTTAATACAGTTGCAGTCCCACTGTTTGCAAAGTACAGTGAAAACTGTCTAATCCGACACCTGAATAATCCGACACACTGTGAATTCTGACGTTAAATTTTTTCCCCATTTTAGTATTTTCTTTGTTTTGAACACTTTGCAATCCGACACCCTGTCTATTCCGACGTAAAATGTATCTCCCTGTGCATGTCGGATTAGACAGGTTTCACTGTATTAGTGAATTACACAGTATATACATGTACATGTAATTATTTGGTATAAATCTGCAGGGTTTGCACACATCGTTAAAAAAACAAACTAAAAGAACCCTCTATAAATTAATGATACTTTTTGTACCCCCCGCAAACGAAGTTTGGGGGGTATATAGGAATCACCTTGTCTGTCTGTCTGTCTGTCTGTCTTTCCGTCTGTCTGTGCAATCGTGTCCGGTCCATATCTTTCTTACAGAGGGACATTAGAATCTACTACTCCACACAAAGATTGCCCATGACCTAAGGGTGTGTCATGACCTTGACCCAAGGTCATTTGGGGAACTTCAAGGTCACTGGAAGAAAAATTTCATAATTTGTGTCCGGTCCATATCTTTCTTATGGATAAACTTGGTAGGTTCTCATTTCACACAAAGATTGTCCATGACCCAAGGGTGTGTTCTGACCTTGACCCAAGGTCATTTGGGGAAGTTCAAGGTCACTGGAAGAAAAATTTCATAATTCGTGTCCGGTCCATATCTTTCTTATGGATAAATTTGGTAGGTTCTCATTTCACACAAAGATAGCCCATGACCCAAGAGTGTGTCATGACCTTGACCCAAGGTCATTTTGGGAAGTTCAAGGTCACTGGAAGAAAAATTTCATAATTCGTGTCCGGTCCATATCTTTCTTATGGATAAACTTGGTAGGTTCTCATTTCACACAAAGATAGCCCATGACCCGAGGGTTTTTCATGGCCTTGACTCAAGGTCATTTGGGGAAGTTCAAGGTCACTGGGAGAAAAGTTTCATAATTCGTGTCTGGTCCATATCTTTCTTATGGATAAACTTGGTAGGTTCTCATTTCACACAAAGATTGCCCATGACTGAAGGGTGTGTCATAACCTTGACCCAAGGTCATTTGGGGAAGTTCAAGGTCATTGGAAGTAAAATTCATAATTTGTGTCCGGTCCATATCTTTCTTATGGATAAACTTGGTAGGTTGTCATTTCACACAAAGATTGCCAATGACCCAAGGGTGTGTCATGACCTTGACCCAAGGTCATTTGGGGAAGTTCAAGGTCACTGGAAGAAAAATTTCATAATTTATGTTTGATACATATCTTTATTATAGAAAAACTTACTTCTGAAAAACCCAGCGGGGGGTATTTTGTCCCGTTTGGACAGTTCTAGTTGTACCTGGAGAAAATTGTCAGATTATGTATTATATTTTAATTGTACATATAATAATTATCTATTTAACTTTGAACAGAAGACACCATCCATTTACACAAGAAAAAATGTGCAAAGACTGACAATGAAGTGTTGAAAAAAAATACATAACTTTTAAATACTTAATAGGCCGGCTTTTGCGTGCCATATTAGTTTTTCTGACTCCAATATCAGCACAGGGGTATATGTAAGACTCCAAAGTGCAATGGTGACGCCAAAGTCCGATGGTGTCGCCAAACCCCGATGGTCGGCGCCAAACCCCGATGGCTTGCTGTCTTTCCGGTTGCCAAAGTTCGATGGTCACGCCAAAGCCCGATGGCTCGTTTCCTGGGAGACACGTTACGCTAAAGTGCGATGGTCTGACACGCGAAAGTCCGATGGTGCGGATGAACAATCAACGTTTATGACGTCACAATAATCCGACGTCAATCCTTGACGCCGTTGTCCTGCATTCAAAAGCCATCATTTCTTAAATCGTCCGGGAATTCAATTTTATTGATTTTGCTTATTGCTTGCAATTTTCAGGGATATTAGGGTTAGTCCTAGCACAACACTCGATTGATTAAGTTAAGTCATTGTATTGCACAACCCGAGAGATTTAGAGTTAGTCCTCGCACATATATCGAGTGATTAGGGTTAGTCTTGCACCCACCCAAGATATCTAAGTTATTGTTAATGCACACTTTTCGAGCGTTTAGGGTTAATCTCGCACCTATCTGAGAAATAAGGGCTAGTTTTTGCATTTATTTATTTACACTTATTTTTAAGACCTTGGCATGGTGCTGCATTGAGGTTTGGCGCAGTGGTACTATGACGTCATAAACGTTAATTGTTTTCCTCACCATCAGATTTTGGCGTGTCGAACCATCGGGGTTTGGCGCAGACCATCGGACTTTGGCGTGACCATCGGACTTTGGAGTCCTACATATAAACCCAGAATGGCACTTTATGTACAAACCTTACACTGCCATTGTGTTTACATCTTATTTTATATTGAACATTAATTTTTTTTTCACTCTTTAGTGCATTGGACTGTGTAATTGATGTGGTATACATTTGGTAACTTTTCCTTCTAATAACACTGAATAATACAAGTCATTTTTGACTGAGTATATCCGACAACTGAGCAGACATACACATAAGCAAAGTCTTTGAAGTGAAATGCATTGAACCTTAATAAAGTCTAAGGCTTTAATAGGGGCTCAAAACATGAGTACGGAATACAAAATGGAAAAAAATTAAATATGGACAGACGAGTGATGAATCTCTATCTTTTATAAGTCGTGTTCAGCCTTTAAATTGGAGAAAGACATGCAAAAAAGTATTTAATTTGTCTTGACTAATAAAATGTTAAGAATTCTTGAACGTTGAATTGGTTACAAATTGAGTAATACAGTGTAAAAATCAATTTATTTTATATTTATAAAGATCAAAGGGCAGATCCCTCAAACTGCAGAAATAAACCAAGAATTAGAACTCTTTATTTACATGCAATGTAAAGAGGGTCCTGTAACATTTGATTTATAAAGTTAACATATGTGTTCAACTGAGCAATCCATCAGAGTTGTAACTTGAGAAAGCTTCCATCTTGCTTCCAACGAAATGACTTTAGTGAAGTATACCAATACAAATTATTTTATACATTGACCTTTAATTTCAATTTGTGTTTTAACACAGTATGATATAACATAATCTCAGGGAGACATTGCTCTGAGATTCTGAAGATATACATCCGTCCAGAATTTTTAGTCTCGACAAATCTCGCTGAGATTAAATATCACATAAATGAAAAGTTACGAAATTCATGACCTCTGGGTAATGATATATTCTTCTAATACCAAGAGTTCCGAATATGAATTTTTTCCCACCATGTTTTGAAGCACTATTGTATTATTTTTCTGGATAATGATAATGACAAATGAGAGTGTATAAGTACAAGCAAGCAAGCATCTACTTTATGATTTATTACTGAGTACTGCTTTAATGTAGACTCCCTAATCATCCAATATTGGTACCACATATCTTTATCAGTTTTGTTTTATTTTATTTTAAAGCCAGGATCCTTTACAGTTGTGTATTACACTCAGGTGACAAGTATAACTCTAATGGGCCTCTTGTTCTTTCTCAAACTGAAAGCAATTCTTAAAAGCAAGAGAATGATCTTTTTCTGTCATATTTGTCTTCTCAAGAACCTATGCATTCACCCCTTACATAAGTCAGTGCTGTTCCAGGTTCAGTGATCCTACCTTAGCACATACCAGTATCTCCCTCATTGTCATTGTGATTTACTTGGGAGCAACAAAAATGACTTTTTAGCTCACCTGAGCTGAAGGCTCAAGTCAGGGGTTAGTGAAGTTTCACAGTGGGAGATCAAGTAATATGTTGGATAAATCTTTTCAAGAATGGCAAAGTTATACCTGTATGCTTTATTGATATAGTGACATTCTCAAGTAAAAAAAAAATCAAATCCCTTCTCCCCCAACAAGTAAACTTTTCAATACTGAGCTGATTTGTGTTTTTTAACTAGCCCATGTGCTCAGGTGAGCAGTGTGGCCCATGGGCCTCTTGTTGGTAAAAAAAGTTACCACAGATATTCAATATCTATTCTGCACATGGCACACGTTATACTGTATAACTTAAACCCAAATTCAATGAGAGGAAACAAGAAGGACAATGAAAATTGTAATATGCAGCAGTGACCAGGTGTAAAGAATGCTAGGAGTTTATATTATTAGTAACCCCACTGCTGATGTACAAGGGTTAAGTTAGGAAAACATACTACCTAAATTTACTAAAAATTTCAGTATGTCTTTGATATACTTGACCAGGGTATCTCCTATATCTTGCAGAACATGAAGTAATCATTATACAAAAATTGGTTTTGTACATACACCATACATAGTCTTATTAAGTATTCTAAAGCTGGAAAAACCAATAAGAAAATATCTTATACCTAAAGAGAATCTTCTCAACTTCTATTGCAATAACAATATTTGATCTTTCTGCTAAGTCAGGAACAATGCATTTCGTACAATTTGAAACCAGTTTTTGCTAATATTAGTAAGTCAGGCTTCAATCTAGAATGGAGAGGCTTATTTTGTCTTCAAAAAATATGTTTAACTGAGAACAATATATGCAAAATTAGCGAATCGTTTTAATGGGATATTACATGTACTATAATCTGAGTTTATGTTTTATTGGTCAGTTGGAGTACATGCACAACACTGGATACCAACGAGGATGATTCATTGATGGAGTATGATCATAGAAAACTCCCCGGATCAAAGTATGTAACTGTTTATTTCAACTTAGTAAAAATTTTGGAACATACTGTAGAACTACATCCAAATACTGTGTAAACTTGCAGTCACAAAGTCATATTCACCTAGTAATATTCATTGTACACATTCTTGATTTTTTTCTTGGTTGGACACATCAATTTGTAGATTCTAAATAAATTCTTTGCAACCAGATTCATTCTGTAGTCAGTCTATCAAGGTCTAAACTTTACTGACACTAGTGCAACCAAAGGGGTGCACTACACTTGCAATGAATAGTAAAAATTTTCTGTCAAACCTGATCTACTGCTTGAACAATCGGAGAAACTGTTATAGGGGGCTTGAAATTCTTAGGGAAAGCCTCCCGCACCTCAGATCTCCAGATTTCCGCATTATTCCGCATTTTTTCCTCATTTTAATATGGAAAAAATGTGGAAAAAAATACGGAGAAAATTAACAATACGGAAAAGCAGAAAATATACGGAAATAATCCGGAAAATAAACGGAAATAATATGGAGAATTGGACTTAGTCTATTTTTCATCTGGAAAAATATTGAACTCTTAACTTAGAATATTTTTCATCCGGAAAAAATACGGAGCTCTGGACTTAGAATTTTTTCATCAAGAACAAGATGTGTTTGTGAGACACAGTAGCACCTGGCGGCAACATTAAGTTCTAAAAAGCAATTTTTAGCAAATGGGTCTCAGTCAAGGTCACACAATCATTGTTCTTGGTGTCATTTGAAAGCACTTTATTAGTGTAGTATGCATACCAAATATTAAGTCTCTATCATCTATGGTTCAAAAGTTATGGCGAAAATTCGAAAAAAGCTATATTTAGCACATAGGTCACAATCAAGGTCACAAGGTCATTGATCTTGGTGTCAGTTGAAGGTGCCTAATTAGTGGAGTATGCATACCAAATATGAAGTCTCTATCTCTCACGGTTTTAAAGTTATGGCGAAAGTTCGAAAAAGCTATTTTTAGCATATAGGTCACAGTCAAGGTCACTGACCTTGGTGTCAGTTGAAAGTGCCTAATTAGTGGAGTATGCATACCAAATATGAAGTCTCTATCTCTCACGGTTCAGAAGTTATGGCAAAAGTTCCAAAAAGCTATTTTTAGCATAAAGGTCACAATCAAGGTCATAAGGTCATTGATCTTGGTGTCAGTTGAAAGTGTTTTTGTAGTGGAGAATCCATACCAAATATGAAGTCTCTAAGTCTCACAGTTCAAAAGTTATGGCGAAGGTTAAAGTTGACAACAGACAAACAAACAGACAGACATACAGCTAAACAGACAGACAGGACAAAAACAATATGCGCCCCGAAAAAATTTGGGTGCATAAAAACTGTCTTGGAGTTAACAGCAGTTCTCTGTTTCTCCTGAATGTTATGTACATTTTGATCAGGATCGGAAGAATGTTTTAAAAAGTCGGGCTCAGTGATCAATTAATTTAAACAACAGACCGCCAAAATTTAACCTTGGCCTCCATGTTGCAACGTCTGCTCTGTCTAAAGGAAGAAGTTTGTTGACCAGACAGCCGGAGATCGTATTGCTGTATCAACCAAAAGATCCAGATACACGTATTTCATATGCGGTAGGTCAGTCATATTTTTTTTAATATGTGTGTCACTGTGATGATGAAAATAAATGGAAGTGTCTATCGGCACGACGGTCGTGCCCACTCTCTACCATCGGCTCATACATTCACCTCTGTCGTAAGCTCGCGTATATCACAGTGATAAACACGAGAAATGATGCGTTTGTTTTAATTCATTAATTAAAATTTATTTCATATGTTTATGTCTGACTTTTCAGATAGATATTTACTCAATTAATCCATAACTATTAATTTAATTTGAAACAATCCTGCAAATATTACTTTTTATACGTTATGTCAAAAATCTTGACGTGAGCCCATTGCAGAGGTGTCTGAGAGAGGAACGAACGACAACTCTGCATAGGAGATTGGGTCGTGCCGATAAATTTCGTTATCCGCACGACGGTCGTGCTAATAACAGTTCTTATCCGCACGACACAAGAGAGATAACTCTAACATTAATAAATTATTATATCAACGCTGAACGCTGTTGGTGGGGGGAAATTATATATGTACAACGAACGTATACTTTTCACCCCCAACCAACGAACCAACGAACGTATATTTTTATTTTATTCTTCGTCGTGTCTAAATAAATTGACATTTTTTTTTAAATATTATTCACCCTTTGTATTATTTCATTCTTGGGTATTTTTCTAAGGTTATGTTGATTGGAGCAAAAAATATATATACAGGTGTCTCATTATATCGCGGTACTTAAATCTTTTGCATAAAAAAGTGTAATTTGATTTTTTAAATTTAACTTTCATCAATTGATATTAATAAAGCAAACTATGGCCTAACTTTTTATTATCAAATTATTTCCCAAGCTTGCATCGTCTAAGTTGTAGTCTATTTTTAAAACAGGAAGTCTCATTTACCTCCTAAATTGGAGAGTCTCATAGTATCGCGGTACGGGAAAACATGGAAACTTGAGGTTGACATGGACTTCAATTCTTATTTTTTATTTTACAATGTAATTTTACATAAGAAAATAAACAATTATACAAACTAAAGACTTTCAAAACATGAACTTTCTATGGATTTTACTAGATTATAAACTCAGTGGGCTAAAAATAATAAAAACGGAGATCGATTTCTGTAAAATTACGTTTTATTTGAATAATTTTTTCCGACGCATTTTCTATACTTTTTAATCATCACAAAAATTTACATTCAGATGACAGACTGATATTTTTTTCAATCAAAAAGCATATGAGCTCTGTATCTGATTTTTTGGAATATACCGCGATACTGTGGAACCCGCGATATTATGAGAATCGAGTATATATTATAGCCTGTACACAAATATTTTTCTCATAATAATATACTTTCCATTGTTTACGGTCTTAATTAGTCTTTCCCTATTTTAATTCTCTCTCTCTCTCTCTCTCTCTCTCTCTCTCTCTCTCATTTCTTCCAGATACTTCACGTTAAAATTATAATATGGGTAAAATATTATGTCGAATTTTCCGTATTATTTTTTGAGAAGTGTACATGATGTAAGTCCCTAAGTGCCGCTGAAATTGTGCACGTGAATTGCGCCCACAGTCGAGAAATTGATCATGCGGTAAATAGAACTGCGATAGTTTGAAGGATTCAAGTGTGAAAAAACCTCGCGGATTTTTAGATAGGGGCGACCCCTAGTCCCCAAAATGATAGAGAGAATCCAGTATATGTTAATCTTATTTTATTTATAAATATGATATAAACATTCATTAGATGCATTTTAGCTATAATATATGTATACTGCATGTATAAAAATGTTTTGAATTTCCAAAATAACACCGCACCCCTTAAAAATACATGTATAATAATCATGGTTAGCTTAAATTTATTCTATGCTTTATTATTTTAATTTTTATGTACAGCACACAGGCACTTGTTTCGGAAATAATTTTTAAACCCATAGTATAATAATAACACAAGGTGTTATTATTATATTATGGGTTTTAAAATTATTTCGGAAATAATTTTTAAACCCATAGTATAATAATAACACAAGGTGTTATTATTATATTATGGGTTTTAAAATTATTTCCGAAACAAGTGTCTGTGGTACAGCATTATTTTACAAATAAGAAAGCACTATTACTCAGTGTAAAAATGCGAAATTTTATTTATTTAGAAAGGAACACAACTGTGAACATGAAGGATAAAACAAAACATCACAAAACATGAAAGAAACGTTCTGAAAGAGGGTAACCTTGTTTGTTCTTTTAATTATTACCATAGGGAGATCGTAATCTTGATTCATATATTATAATAGTTCATGTATCATATCAAGGGTGTATATAAAATTAAAATTTGCGTGTCGTATTTCGAAATAAAAATGCCGTTTTTAGGGGGGGTCTTTCTTTTCTTTTCTTTTTTTTCTTGGAAAAATCATATCAATGCAAAAAACGGCTAAATCACTTAAAAAAAAAACTCTTGCATAGGAACTCCTGAATAGTAAGCATGGAAAAAGGTAGGTTAACTTTATGTGGATGTCTAATAAATAAAATTTGTTTTGAGTTTCAACGTACAAAAGCAGAATGACATGTAATAAAAATTATATCAAAGTAAAAATATAGTAAAAATAAACGTATAATTAATATAAATTAATTTTTAAGTTTGTCGTGCGAATAACGTTTATAATTCGCACGACCGTCGTGCGAATAACTTTAGTTGTCGGCACGACCGTCGTGCGGATAACATCGGTAATTAGCACGACCGTCGTGCGGATAGCCTCAGCCAAAATAAATACTCTAGGCCTAGGACTGAGCTACCAGGCTACGTACGTTTCAGCCAATATGCCCATGATTCAAATCTTTCAATCAGCTCATAGAATTTTATTATGGTTAACCACAATTAAAGGTGTTAATTTTTGGGAGCCATGGGGTGTAATCTCTAGCAATGATTTACCATACATTTTTTTTTTGGTAGCGTCTGTGCATGAGGAGGAGATTTCTGAAAAAGAATAAGTGCTTATTCAACTTACTGCGATTTTAACAGGCTTAAAGCTTGGTCCATGGATGGTTATGTTTGAGGTATATATATTCTTTTTTTCCTTTTTTATTGCTTGTTTAATTAAAAACAGTCAACTATGATTGTCATTATTATAAATAATATTTAAAAAAAAATTGATATTAAATTGAAGAACCCAAACTTGTGTTTATAAAAAGATTTTAAAAGGAATAAAAGCAATGAATTTAAATTTTATTAATATTGCACCATTATAATTTAAGTACTTTTTTTTTTTAATTGATAGGATTTGCCAATTCGACCGCAAGTGCTGCTGCAAGAAATTAAGCATGCAGAGACCTTACAAATTACAAAGAAGTCTGAAGAAAATTTTTATTGGACAGATGGGTGTAAAGCACAGACCTGAGATATAAATTGAATTGTGAGAAATATGAATCAGGGATGCAGGTAGAAAATGGCAAATGTGATCCAGATTGATAAAAAATGTCTAAAAAAATTTTCTTGTTTTGTAAATACTCAATGCTATGTCAATTGTTATTTTTTCCCCAATACCTAATAGTGTTGAACATTTCACTCCCGCTTTTGCTTAAATAGAATGAATAAATTTCCATTTATTTCATATGAATATTAAAAAATGCCACATTTTTTCCATGATGAACTTGTGGCTTAAATAAGAGTTCCAGTTTTTTTTCCATACATGCTCCTATTTGTTTGTCAAAGATATAAGATCCAATACATTGCTCATGAACATAATGTGTAATTTTGTTCATTCATTTATGTTTTTTTCTCATAATGATATAATAAATTGTATATAATTTTGCACATTGTTGATGGTTTTGTAAATATTTATGTATGTATGCATCATGTAGCGGTTTTATTAGCCATTTTATAACCATGTGATTAACTCCGTATTTTCTCCAGATTTCCGTATTTCCGCATTTTATCAACCAAGTAAATACCTCCATATTTTGTGTATATGGAAATGCAGAAATCTGGAGAGAATACGGAAAAAGAGTCCAAATACTCCCATCCACATTTTCTCCATATTTTGAATACGGAGAAAATCTGGAAATTTGAATCTACGAAAATCTGGAATGAATGCGGAAAATTAGTCCAAATACTCCCGTCCGCATTTTTTCCTTATTTTGAATAAGGAAAAAATGTGGAGATCTGAGGTGCGGGCTTATAATTTTTTGATTGGTCAATATTTAAAAAAAAAAAAAAAAACCAGTTAAAGTTGGTACCGATCCCAAATTAAAGTTCATTCTTTCTGTAAGGGAAACTACCCATGCAACCACATGGCCTATCCTCTTTCACGGTAACTGTTATGATTATTTTGTAAATTTTTTTAAGGTAAAATTTCATTTAATTCATCGTCTATCATCAGAAATGGCCACTCACAAGACAACTTGTATTTATCAAACACAAAGTTGTATTCAAATAACCCCCTAAATGCTTCAAGTACTGGTCAATGAATTAGATTAAATAATTGTTTATACAGTTTATACCAGTACACAGCCAAAAATATAAAACTCAAACTTTTTATGATGAGTCAGTATGGCATATAATATAATTTTTATGAAGTTCTTCCGAGTTCTCTTGCGCTTTTTTTAAATAAAATTTTTAATCTGAGAACTGTTCAGATGAGGTAAGTTGTTCTTAATATGACCTTTACTTTTTCCATCTTCTTATAAACAACACCCTTAATTATCCTCCACGATTAGAAACGTCTGTTGAAGACAGAAAATACCAGCCTATCAGGCACGGGTTGATTTCCTGAAGATTTCCTTCAGTGCACTGACAGTTAGGTTGATCTTACTAACGGAAATCTCTCATTGATTGAATTTTAACTTCATGTTTATTTTTTTCGGTTAGGTCAAAAAGCACAATGATGGACTCTCAAACGGGAAATGACAGGTAAGCTCACTATTTATTTATAGGGTACGTCTTTCAATTTCCGTACTGATAAAATTCGTAACCTTACCAGTGAATTTGACAGAAGCATAACAGGATTATATGCAGTGATTGCATGTATAGTTATCGCCTGAGAGAAATTTTTGGACTACGTGTGAATTAAAAATGTATTTGAAACTTGGGAAACTCCAAGTATTGTTTTCTAGACCCTTCCACCCCTCACATACCATATTAAGAGGAAACTTAGTGAGATGCAAATTTAGCGATTTCTCCACAAAAATTGGTATTTTATTTTTAGCAGTAAATAATTTTAGGAATTTTAAAATGCTCACCAAAGAAGTTATTACCATGATTACAAATAGAATGCAATTACATGTAATTTTAAGCGATATTCAATTTTAGCGATTCTAGCACCCTCTCGAATAATGCAAAAATTAAATCAAAGAAACTATCCAAGATATTTTCATGAAACTTCATATGCTGATAGATATTGATGAGAGCTATGCAAATGCATGTACATTTTTTGACCTTGACCTTTCCTTTGACCTTGACCTCACTTTTCTTAAATTAGTGTGTAGCTCAGTTTTAACCATACCATTCAAGATGGTGTTATCAAACTTCACATGTTGATACAAACTTGCACAGATGATGCATCTAGGGATGAACACTACAAGACTTGCTTGGGATGCTGGATCTGACCTACATTTTCCAGATGAGTGACCAGGTTAAAGTTTTTGGAGCAGGTTCATTCCTAAGGAACTATCATAAGCCCTACCTATACCAAACTTGCATGGATGATGCATCTAAGGATGGACACTACCAGACTTGCTTCTGATGCTGGACCTGACCTACATTTTCCAGATGAGTGACCAGGTTAAAGTTTTTGGAGCAGGTCCATTTCCAAGGAACTGTAAGCCCTACCCATACCAAACTTGCATGGATGATGCATCTAGGGATGGACACTACCAGACTTGCTTCGGATGCTGGATCTGACCTACATTTTCATTCCCTAGTAACTGTAAGCCCTGCTTGAACCAAACTTGCATGGATGATGCATCTAGGGATGGACACTACCAGACTTGCTTCGGATGCTGGATCTGACCTACATTTTCATTCCCAAGTAACTATAAGTGCTACCTGAACCAAACTTGCATGGATAATGCATCTAGGGATGAACACTACCAGACTTGCTTCGGATGCTGGACCTGACCTGTATTTTCATTCCCAAGTAACTATAAGTCCTACCTGAACCAAACTTGCATGGATGATGCATCTAGGGATGGACACTACCAGACTTGCTTCGGATGCATCTGACCTATATTTTCATTCCCTGCTTCGAATGCTGGATCTGATCTACATTTTCATTCCCAAGTAACTATAAGTCCTATCTGAACCAAACTTACATGGATGATGCATCTAGGGATAGACACTACCAGACTTGCTTCGGATGCTGGATTTGAACTATATTTTAATTCCCAAGTAACTATAAGCCCTACCTGAACCAAACTTGCATGGATGATGCATCTAGGGATGAACACTACCAGACTTGCTTCGGATGCTGGACCTGACCTGTATTTTCATTCCCAAGTAACTATAAGTCCTACCTGAACCAAACTTGCATGGATGATGCATCTAGGGATGGACACTACCAGACTTGCTTCGGATGCTGGATCTGAACTATATTTTCATTCCCAAGTAACTATAAGCCCTACCTGAACCAAACTTTCATGGATGATGCATCTAGGGATGGACACTTCCAGACTTGCTTCGGATGCTGGATCTGACTTACTTTTTTATTCCCTACTAACTAGAAGCCCTACCTGAACCAAACTGATCAAATTTTATTCACATGCATACAAATTTTCATGTTGCTTTACTAATATATCTTCGGCGGGGCATTCATGTCCTATGGACATATTTCTAGTTTTTTGTTGACCCTGTGACATTTAAAGCAATGAGACATCACTTAAACCAGCTAAATTAAGGCAGCCCAAGCTATAGGTATGCTTCAATCTGGCAATACTCAAAGAACAGCTGCTGCACACTTTAATGTGTTCCAAAGTGTGATTTCACCATTATGGAATCGATTCAAACGTTGCTGAGAGACCACGTTCTGGTCGTCCGAGGTCAACCACGGCTCTTCAGGACCGTTATCTGGTCAATATGGCAAAACAGCAGAAGTTCCAGAGTGCTGTTAGGCTAAATACAAACTTTCAAACAGCAACAAGAGTGCAAGTAACACCACAGACAGTTCGAAACAGACTCCATGCGACTAATATCCGAGCATTCCGACCAGCAGTCGTGCCCAAACTTACCCCAAGACACAGAACAGCTGCCAGACTCCAATGGGCACGAAACCATGTCAATTGGCAACTGTTTCACTGGACCCCTGTTCTTTTTACAGATGAATCGAAATTTTGTGTAGACTTTCATGATGGTCGTAGACAAGTTTGGCGTACGACTGGTGAATGTTATGCAGATTGCTGTGTTGCTGAGCATGATCGTTTCGGGGGTTGTTCTGTGATGGATTGGTGTGGTATCAGTATAACCGGAAAGACTGACTTGCACGTTATCGCAGGAAATCTTACAGGGATAAGATGAGATACTGCACCCTATTGTCAGGTTGTATGCAGGTGCTATCGGTGATGATTTTATTTTAATGGACGATAATACTAGACCCCACAGGGCTCGCGTGGTAACGAGACTACCTGGAAAAGGAAACCATTTAGTGAATGGACTTGCCGAGTCTTTCACCTGATTTGAATACCATAGAAAATGCTTGGGACAAGCTACAGCAAGCCATTTCAGCGCGCCCAGTACTCCTTGGGAAACGTGAGTAGCTTTCTGCTGCACTCGTCGAGGAATTGACTAGATTGCCGCAAATCTTCCTGAGATTTATCTGCAGTATGTAGAGGCGTTGTCGTGCGGTTATTCAAGCGAGGGGGGGGGTCATACAGCACATTGAACACATAAAAACACTGCGCAAACGGTTACGTCTGAATTTTCCCGCCTTTACCAAGGCTGTTTTTCATTCTGTTTTGGGGCTTGTGTGACAATTAATCCCAATGCACCTTAACTCTTCATTGATTTTTGATAAACACTATAAAAAATTTTTGTTTACTTGTCAAAGATTTATATAGCTAGGATGGAATATATTGTTATTTGTTGTAAATTAAATAATTTATAAATCATGACCCTTAACTTATTTTGTCCAGTGTATTTAAGTGCCCCCCAAACTGAAATAGCACACTGTTGTTAGGAGGGTTATTTCAATTACCCATGTGAACAGATCTTTTGTTTTCTCATATATTGTCTTTTTGTGTTTTTTCATATTTTGTATGTTTATATCTGTTTAAATGGAACTAGTGCAGACCTGCCAAGTGACCCGCATTCGGTGGGTCACACCCGCAAAATTGACCTCTCACCCCCCATTCATAATGACCCGCGGCGTGTCATTGTTTTCACACGCAAAATCGATCATCCCAATTTTTTGACCCAATATTGATTTAGCATGTTTGTCTCAACAAGAAAGATCTGAAAATTCATCCTAAAATTTCCGATTTGTGTTCTATAAATCAGGATATGAACATCTTGTTTATTCAATGCACACAGATTGTATCTTTGTTTGCCGAGGTGTTAAAAAAAACTGTTAATTAGCCACAGGAAATCACTTCACGCTTGATTGCAGACTTACACAGCTGTACAGGTAATATGCCTGGAGCATTTAGGGGATTAATTAAGTAACCATTTGAATGGGTATATGCATGGTGAACCACATAGATTTAGAGGTTAATTAAATATCATTTTATTAAAAACAGATATTAATTAAATACAATGATATGATAAACATTGGGATCGTTTTTTAAAAACGAAAGTAAAAAAACGAAACTACAAAGCATAACTGATACATGTAACAGCTGATTTTATCAGCTCTCGTATATTGAAATTATTGTTAAGTGTAGTGGTTAAAAGAAAATGATATTAATTTAAGATAAAGCAAAAGAGTCTAAAGTGAAGTATATTGAATTTCTCTCCCCCCTCCCAAAATGTACGTTGTGTTTCTTTGTTAAATGGCTATGACAAGGGAATACCCACTTGTCAGTCACATCATGACTCTAATGATTTTAAGTTTTTGTTTGGGGTGTTAGGTATCCTTCATAATTTATTTTGTAGTATTTGATTCATTTAATTTTTTTTGTGTGTGTTTTAAAATTAATAATAGGAAATTAGATGGCACATATTTCTTATATACCACCACCCCATGCAGCAGCAATTTTTCAATATTAATCTTTCAATGTAGGCCTAATGTCTAATTACAATTTTCTGATTGTGTAATATGTTGAAAATTAATGTAGAATCTAACAATGTTTCCCAGAAACTTTTTAAATTTTTAAAACTTTGCAAAAATTCTATTGAACTAAAAGTATCTGAATCTAACTATCAATCTGAAAGTGTTCTTATACAAGCAATTGTAAGTAACCTGTCCTAAGTAAAAATCAAGTCTGCAATAAAATATAACATATACATGCATGTGTTTGACTGTTTGCATTGATGCCTAAAAATTGGGAGCATTTTGTTACTCAAACCTCAACAAAAATGTCGCAGCGCACTATGACCCAACATTTCAATTCTGAATGTTGGGTCATGACCCCTCACAGCATCAATTTTGGTTGGCAGGTCTGCTAGTGTAATATTTACTTAATTGTATGTCATATTTCATATATCTCCATGAGGAGGAAATAAAGAATGATTGATTGATTGATTACATTAGATCTGATCAAGAAATTCCAAATTTACATAAACTTTTTGGGTTTATTGTAATTCCACTCCTCTTGATACATTTTGCTCTAGGACTTTAATAAATGTAAATAGTCAAGAAAAATGACATATTATAAAACATATTTTAGTTTTGTCAGTCCACACAATGAATTAGCAATCCTAAGCGTACAATATTCACCTCGGCCTTCAGCCTTGGTAAATATTGCACTTCTCAGGTAATTTAGTCAATGTATTAACCTTGAAAACAGAAATAGTGTTTTGTGTTGTATAGATTGTGTAATTTGAAAACTAAATAAGTAAAAAGTTGACATTAATGATGTTACAATTTAAAAAACTAAATAGTTATACAAAAAACTAATCACATAATTGTAATTCTTTTATCACGACTATATTGACAGACAAAACCACAGTGAGATTGAGAAAAGGAGGAGGGACAAGATGAATGCTTACATCACAGAGTTGTCCTCAATGCTGCCAATGTGTAACGCCATGAACAGAAAATTGGACAAGTTAACTGTGTTACGCATGGCGGTACAGCATCTCAAGTCCCTTAGAGGTAAACAATCTCAGGATATGTAAGATGAAAAATAGTCCCTTAGTACGGGTAGTAAACAATCTCAGGATATGTATAAAGATAAAAAATAGTCCCTTAGTAGTAACAATCTCAGGATATGCAAGATAGAAAAATAGTCCCTTGGAGGTAAGTGTCGGATATGTTCGATTAAAAAATAGTCCCTCAGAGGTAAATAATCTCAGATATGTTCAATTAAAATAAAGTCCCTCAGAGGTAAGTAATCTCCGATATGTTCGATTAAAAAAATAGTCCATCAGAGGTAAATAATCTCAAATATGTTCGATTAAAAAATAGTCCCTCAGAGGTAAACAATCTCAGCTCAAGTCCCTCAGAGGTAAATTTTTTGGATATGTTAGATGAAAAATAGTCCCTCAGAGGTGAATAGTCTTGGAATATGTAAGATTAAAAAAGTCTCTCAGAAGAATCTAAGGATATGTCAGTTAGAAAATAGTTCCTCAGGGGTAAACAATCTCAGGATATATAAGACAAAAATAGTCCCTAAAATAGAAACGATCTCAGCACAAGTCCCTCAATCAGGATATATGCATGAAAAAAATTGTCCCTCAGAGATAACTGTCTCTGAATAAGATAAAAATTATTTCTCCTGTGGCAGGGCAGGTCACAACTTTTAAATGATAATAACAGAATTTGTTTAATGCTTTTAACTGTTTGAGAGACAAGTTTTTTTTAAAAAAGGGTTACAGAGTTTTGTTAAGAGCAATGTTTTCAGAAAATATCGCTAAATGTTGATGGCTTATTATTAGATTAAAAAAGCTGTAATAAACTATTGCTGGGTGCTGCTCAGAAATATTGAGAAGTGATCATAAAGAAAAGCTAAATTACAAACAGATATGGAAATTCAAACTTTTAGTTTATTGGTAGGCACACAAGGATTTTCCACTGCCCCATGTAGGGCCGAATATGGGGCCGATTGCCAATTGCAAAATCCCTCCTTTTTTCCCCAAAAATCTGGCTAAAAATTAATCATTAATATTGATCTATCATCTGATTTACAATTCTGAATAATTAAGGAAACAATCAAATTTATTAATCATAAGTGTACATGAAACTAAGAAAAAAATTGGTCAATATTATATTTTACAGAAGGTGCAGCTATGTCAATACCTGAAGCTAGACCGTCATTCTTATCTGACGATGATCTCAAACATCTCATTCTAGAGGTAAGCTTGTTCTATCTCAAACATCTCATTCTAGAATTCTATCTCAAACATCTTATTCTAGAGGTAAGCTTGTTCTATCTCGAGCATCTTCTTCTAGAGATAAGCTTGTTCTATCTCAAGCATCTTGTCCCAGAGGTATGTTCTTTCTTTAACATCTCATTCTAGAAGTTAGTTCATTCTATCTCAGGTATCTCATTCTAGAGATAAGTTTGTTCTTTCTCAAACATTTCATTCTAGAGTAAATTTTGGTCTATCTCAAAAATTTCATTCTGAAGGCATTTTTGTTTAATCTCAAACATCTCATTTTAGAGGTAGAGATTTCTTATGCTTGTAAGTGTAATAAAAACAAACACCTCGAAGGTGTCCTGGTACATTGCTTTAAATTACCAGGAGATCCTTGGACATCCCTTACAGTGTCTAAAAACACCAGAATCTGGTCAATTATGATCATCTGTCAAATTGTAAATTGCTTTCTGTCCAACTAGATTAATGTTAATGCATCCATACTATATCACTGACTCTGCCAAGGTCCACGTTTTAAGACTGGTATCTGTTTTTGCATGATGACCTGTGTATATATGTATGGGACTGTTTATATGCATAGTGATGACTTTGGACTTAACCATATCAGCTATAACCAATCTGCAATTCATAGACTATAATGTTAATTTTAATTTTTTTTGTATCATAAATTATTATGCCTCTATAATCAAAGATTTAGGGATAAATAGTTTTTAGGGGGTTTAGATTTGAATCTATTTTCTTTATGAATGTTTTCCTATATAAAATTTAAATATATTGTGGCCCTTCCTACCCCAGTCCCACTTTATTCAACTTAAGTTATAAATCATATATTCAAAGAGTAACTTTTCAAGGCTTGAGGAAAAAGCATTGTTTCAAGGGGGATAATTTTGTAATTGAAGAAGTGTGGTGTTACACATTTGAAATTTTCTAATTCATGGAGGGCTGAAGTTCAGATTTCCCGTCATACTATGAAAACAGTGAAAATAAACTCCCATTAAAATGGGAGATTCCACGGTATAACATGTAACTTCTTACAGTTGTATAATGTATCCCCCAACCAAATCAGACATTGCTTTTGGCATGTCTGCCTATCAGACTAATATTTTCCAGGCAATATTTCCGAGTTCCTTGAACTTAAATAAAAACAAGTTTCATTTCCTTAACATTTATTTGATGCCAAACCATGATTCTCCTCGTGATTCTAGGAGAGCAATAATACTCTCTGTTTAGCTCTACTTGAAGATCAGTAGAAGTGATTTTCACTGTATTCAGGGTACCTGTCCACAATATTTATATACCAATTTATGTTTTTGTGGATGCATCTTGGGTTACAAGATGGTGTTAGGTTTATTTGATTGGTACTGTGCCCTTTAATGAAGAAAATTTAGCCAAATGTGGCAAAACCCTGCCTATATCTCATTCTTTGAAATTATTTGTGGCCTAGAATTATCAGACTTGGGCATATAATGCATTCTTAGGTGGAAACTTTGAGATTTTTATATTTGAGATACCAAAGGTTTTTTTTCGCAGCCCCATCAGGTTCGAGATAACAAAGTTTGACTGTACTTTAATTTGATAAATACTTGTAATGAAAACACCTTAATTTCACAGATAGCAGACCTTATAAGATCGGAAGTGTAAATGTTCTATTACATTTACAGCTCTCCTAAAGAATATTTAGATTCCCGCAAATAATAAAAATAGACTATTTAAATCAAAGTTGCCTGTATTGTTACATGACATTGCTGCGTCTTGGAGATTGTGCTCTGAATGTGTTATAGAACAAGCCTTTGTTTTTGAAAGCTGACAAGGCAGCTGTTAGGACTTGTAATTAATTTTGACGTCATGGTTTGTGACAGAAGGATGAACGAAATATTGGTTTAAAATCTGCTTATCGCTATAAGGTGACAAGATTGTAGGCTGCTATTTCATCCTTGTCGTCATGCTAAACCTCAATGATATGGCAGGTATTTCAATAGATTTTTTCCTACAGGAAATCAGACATTTTCAATTTTGTTTACTAATATGTATTGCACGTTTTTCTTTATAAATTTCCTACAGGTACTTTATTCCATAAATTACAGTGGATAATAAAAAGAAAATAGATATTTTATTCATGTTTTCACTGCAGATATCTGAGAGAAAAAGATAAAAATATTACATTTTATTTATTTTTTTTTTCAAAATTCTTGACCACAATTAAGTCAGTTAAAAAAAAAAAAATACTTTGTGCTATTGTCAATATCACAATCAATATTAAAAGTAAAAAAAAAAGGTGCCATGAAAAAAATATTTCATTGACAAATAAAAGTTCCTCTATTTGTGTTAATCAATGCCTCCAAAGTGCAAAGCAGATTAGTGATCGACATTTAATACAGGGATCACTTTACCAACACCTCAATCTCTGACGGCCATACCCTTTATTATAGAAGTAGAATCTGATATATATGTACCTTACAACAGTCTTCAATATAAAAATCACAGGTTATGAACTGAAAGTTTAAACTGAAAGATGAAAGTTGGGATTATTTTAACATCCAAATAATAAACATGCATTCCATACTTTAAAAATTTTAAGTGCAATCCTGAATTAGTTGTTTTCCATACACAAATATAACAAATTGCATGTCTCTCATGTTTCTTGCCCAATGTTCTCCGCAGAGTTAAGAACTGCTCATTGTTAAGATTACATTACAATATAATGAGGGAATTCTGCAAGTCTATATAATGACAATTATTATACAGTGGAACTTCATGTATCCGGACGCTTTGGTTCCTAGTCACTTTGTCCGGATATGTGAAACGTTACCAAACGATACCTCAATTACCAGTTCAACAAGACAAAATAATTTTTAAAAATTCCGTTCCGATGAAAAATCATCCGGATACAGAAGCATCCGGATATCTGGCGACAAGATATCTGAAGGTCCACTGTACATGTACTTTGCAATCATTTAATTAATGGAAGTCAATTAATGTTCATTGGCAACCAAAATTTTAATGGTTTGCAGGTATGTGATGTTCATGGGGAATTTATTTCATAATACCATACTTAAGATGGTTACTGATTGTTACTGATGGTTACTATGGTAACTATTTTGTTAGGCAGCGGAGGGCTTCCTGTTTGTTGTGAGCTGCGACCGAGCCAGAATTCTCTACGTGTCGGAGTCTGTCCGTAATATTCTCAACTACACAAGGGTAAATAGGACACTTGTTGATGATAAAACAAATGTCATAAGTGGTAAATCAAGCAATATTTGATTTGATCATTCAGGACCTTTGCAAGACTAAGAGGTACAGATTGAGTTAACATGTATCAAATTCTTAGATCTAAATTCTTACTGATTAGATTTGTATGCTGTAATTTGAATTATTTTGGTAGCTGGATCTGATTGGTCAGAGCCTCTTGGATTACCTTCACCCACATGACATTAACAAGGTCAAAGAGCAGTTGTCAGCATCAGATGTCTACCCCAGGGAACGATTAATAGATGCCAGAAGTAAGTCGTAATCCTGCATCCTGTAAACATGGGACAGGAAATGGTATTTCTGTAAAAGGGAGTAGTAGTGGTACTGTAAAAAGCACAAATTTTCTTGGGAATAAAATTTCATTGATTTATCATTACCTCCCCTAAGAAAACCTGCATCCTTCATGAAGGTTATTAAAAGATACCCCCCCCCCCTAAACAGCATGCTTCATATAGGCCATTAGAGGTCGCCCAAAAAATGCATTCTACATGTAGGTCATTAAAGGATAAGCCCCCTCCCCAAAAAAAACCTCCTGCATCCTGCTTGAAGATCATTGGAGGATAACACCTCCACCCCAACAAAAAGCATTCCATCCTTCATGAAGATCATTAGAGGATATTTAAAGAATGAGTTCCACAACACCACTAGCACCAAAATAGAAGAGAATATGTGCATTGATAAATGAAAATATGTCAAAGAATGAACATGGAAATTTCTAAACAAAGAGTAAATTTTCTTTAAAGACATACGCAACGTACCTTGCTTACTGATAACTTTATAAGATATATTCTAAATTCAAGATTATAGTGCCATCGCATGTTCATAGACAAAAAATCAGCATGCATTACCAGGGGTTTTGAAAAGATATCAATTGATGAATTTTTTTTTTGTATTATTCAAAGAAAAATATACAAAAATTACTAAACATATATTCTGGGTGTTTTATTTATCCAAATTTGATTAAAAAGATGTGTACAATTGCATATGCAGACAATAAAATCTAGTAGACAGTTCCTTCAAGTATTGAAACTCTTCAACGCCACATGCAGGGAAAAATGCAATAAAGTTCAAACTACGTTGCGTATGTCTTTAAATGTATTTGTTTGTTACATCCATGCAGTTGAAGGAAAAACTTAATGTTTCCAGTAACTCACTGATTGATAATAAAGCCTTCCATAGTGTGTGTATTTATCACTTTATTGGAACAGTTGATTGTAATTATGATTTGTTCCTACAGAAACCTTATTATTTGCATGAAACCTTAAGAGATTTAAAAGGAGATATTAAAGCTTATGTAAGCCTGTAGCTTATATAAGCCATCATTTGAGATTGGATATTGCCAACATTGTCCTCTGTTTGATGGCTTAGATTGTCGTCTGCTTGATGGCTGAAATTGTCTTCTGCTAGTTCTTCATTAAACTATTTAATGGGCCCATGCATCACTCTTGAGAATGGAAGCAGGCTTTTTTGTCCAAATTCTGCTAAATCTACTAAATCTTCTAACCCAATCAAACCTCTCCCTTGAAATTTCAAACTCAATAGAAGGATAATTTTTCTTAAAAAGTGATGCAAGCATTCAGTGTATTTTTTTAGGGTAATTTGAACTTCCGAATAACTGAATGAGACAAAGATATTGATTTGGCAGAGTTGACTATTGATTTATATTTATTTAAAACCAGTACACCAATTTTAACCAACCTTGACACAGAGGTTATATCCTTGGATAAAGGGAATTAGAATTAATTCACATGGTCAAGCCTTTTAACCTTTTCCAAGGGGTCAATCAAGAAAAGAGGGGGGGGGGGGGAGGGGGGTCATTTAATATAAATCTTCTTCTCAAGACCCATAGGTCGAAGAAAGATAAAATGTGAAAGTGAAACTATACAATTAAAATGTGTTCAAATAATATTGTAATATGGCATTGCCATATAATTGGAAGAAAATTTCATGACATTGGAATATATAGGGAGGAAAAAAATCTTTTTAAGAACAGCAGAAATGTGCTGTATTAAATGCAAGTTCATTCAATTGTGCCTCATTGAGATAGGGTGAGGTCCCATTAAAAGGGCTGTAGGATTGAGTTTGACTTTGTTAACTCCAAGGTCATGGTCAAAAGGTCAAATTTTTTGGCATCCAAAAGAAGTTCTTGTCACAAGGAATATGAAAGTTTTAGTGCTTACAGTTCAAAAGTTATGACCATAAGTTTAAAGTTTTTGACTATGTTAGTCATTTTGAAGCAACACCATGTTGTGTGTAATCAAATATATGATTTCTCTGTTGTACTTTCTGTAACATAATTGATTTCTGGGATTGCTGCCCTGTCAGCCTCTATGGGTTGTTTCGTCTGACGATGATGATACAGAATCAAAATTTCTGTAGAATTTGAAGTTCCTTGTATCATTGAGTAAAATGCCACAGAAATATACACCTGGTAGAATTTTAGCCAAGCTCAGCATTTCCTGGATCTGTTATCTTGCTTACTGTGTGTCCTTTAAATATTATAAAAGGAAAGAAGCTAATTAATTATACAAGGAATAAGATATGGTATAAATTTATGAATGTCTTATGTAAGATCTCATGTTTTTGCACGCAGGCAGGTATATATTATTTTATAAAAGAGGATTTACATTGTACAAACTTATTTTTATGATGTACATGTACTAAAAAATAAAGTAAAAAATTAAGTAAATATGAATTATAAAAATATGAATAATAATTAAAGTAAAGTAATAAAAGTCCATCATCTGTTACAAAAGAAAATGAAATTTATTAAAAGATGATTCAATCATTATGTACATTTATGCAATGATTTTGATTTGATTTAGCCATGATGCCTGTGAAGACGGAACTAATCCGACGACCCACCTACCTCTGTTCTGGGGCTCGACGGTCGTTCTTCTGTCGGATGAAATCTGGAAGCTCTGTGTCAGATCTGTGTTCAGGACTCAAATCCGAGAAAGACATAGATCTGGAGCTCTGTAGTCGGAAGAAAAAATCAGGTAGTTAGTTATACCCGCTGTTACACATAAAAATCAAGTAGTTAGTTACCCTCTGATACACAAAAACAACAGAAAAAAATGAGGTGGTTATTATACCTGCTGTAACACAAAAAAAAAAATCAAGTAATTTATTACCCGCCGTAACACCCCCAGAAAGTTTCATATTATCGGTTCTTCAGTATATCAGAATGTACATGTATGATATTTTGCAGATAGGAAGTCTCTTATTTTGATACATGTCGATGTATTATTCATGTATAGAAAGTCCTTCACAAATGTAATTGTATGATATACCGTATAACGGGTATTTTTTACGTGCTGCTAATTTTTACTAATTTTTACAAGTTTTATAAATCCGTAAAATTTAAACGCGTAAAATTTCAAATAATTTCTAAAACGGCTCGTGTAAATTTTCAACATTGTATGTGTAAAAGTAATGCTCATTGTCATTAAGCTCACTCCCTGGAGGCTATATAATTAGTGTACTGTTGGTATTTTGAACACTTTTAAGTCAATCATCAATAGGGATCATAGAGGTAAATCTCAATTAACTTGTAAAAATTATACAAACATCGTCAATTAATTAATCAGTTAGACCTACTTGGTTACTCTTTTTTAGTATTTTTACGAGACGCATGAATTCTGATAATAACTTAATAATTACAGGTCTTCCAATTATACCCATGTTTTCAATCTTTGACACTTAAATCTTCTGTTTCATGTGCTTTGAATAAAACTTCTGAATACACTGTACATGCATACTTTCACTTCAATTATGATAGTTTGAGTTGTCTCTCTTATTTTCGGTAAATCCAGACGAACACGTGGTGTGCCTAGCTATGTGTTTTAAAAAACATGAATACATGAAGCGTACATGGTTTGTGTATATAAAGGTAAATGAAAATTTTTGTTAACACATTATGTAATTTGTTGCATTGTTTATTTTGTCATAATTTAATCTCTCTCTCTCTCTCTCTCTCTCTCTTACATCGGGTTTTCGGACACCTTATTTGTACGTAAACGCGTTCAAAGTGCTAACAATCAGTGATCTGGAATTTTACATCTGATGATTTTAATTTTTACGGACATGTTCAATTCGTAAAAAACTAACGCGTAAAAATTTAAATCACCCTTTTTGATCAAAATTCGTAAAAATTTACAGCAGTAAAAATTACCCGTTGTACGGTATTTTACAGATAAAGAGTTTTGTAATGATATTAAATTTCATCCTTTGATATGTCTAGTTGTATGATATATAATTATAGAAAGTCATTCTCTATCATGTCTATGATACACATAGAGCTCCAGATAATTTTTTACCCCAAAGTGTATTTACTCCCTGACTTTTTAATCAATGCAGATTTTGATTTTCAGCAAAATGAAGAGTATTGTGTTTATATATAAATGTTTTGACCTTTATTTTGAGTTTGTAATTGAAGTATGTGTTTTTGAAGAGGGGAAAAACTTCAAAGGTCAATTCCTGCATTTATTTAAATAAATTTTGTAAATACCAAAAAGACTTTATGCTAAGATTGGGAAGCATTTTTTTTTGACATGGAAGATTATACAGTAGGTCAAGGTACCATAGAGTCAGAGGCACAGAAAACTTTTCCTTCATTTCAGATATTGTACCAAGAGTAAACTGAGAGAAAAGAATCTTCGTTAATGTGGCAAGTTAAGAGAGATGAAAAATTTGCTAAAAAAAGTTTTGCCTAGTGCATAGTCTTTCTTCATGGAAATTGATTTTAATCTAAACCTCTGATTCTTCCTCCCTAAATGGAGATAGTCGTCGTCATTACTAGAATATTCCTGGTCACTAAAAGGCTTTTAAATCTGTACTTCGTTTTGAGAAAAATCAAACACTGAGTTAACCGCAATTCGTATCATTAAGTAAGTCGTACCTGTGTTCTTCAACTTGTTGTACGCAGTACTTTCGTGGTGTAATGCGTAGCTCTGATTACTAATGCATAATTGTACGCTCTATTTTAATTTACAATGTGTATTTTGTAAAATTTAATGTGTATTTCTGCAAATACGCACCTTATCTGTAGCTCTGCATGGTTGTATGATATTTTACAGATAGGGAGTCTCTTTGTGATACATGATATAGTATTATACTCAGTGTTGTATGATATATGTTACAGATAGGAAGTCTTTCACTGTGATACACTGTACGGGTTACCTCAAATCCTGGCCCTCATCAAGTCTGGACATGAAGGAGCAGGAGGATTCTGAAGATAACTGTGATTTAAGTTGTTTAGTGGCCGTGGGACAAATCAAATCAACCTGTGATCGTAAAACTGTGGACAGAGACAGTGATATAAATGTCCGATCTATAGAATATGTGTCTCGAATGAGCATCGACGGAAAGTTTACCTTTGTTGATCAGGGGTAAGTAAAATTAACACCAGATTATGTAAAAAAAAAAAAAAAAAAAAAATATTTGAGTCTTTTGCTTCAGAGATAGAGACTATTTATTATATTAATTAAAGTTGTACAGTAAAACTTGTATATTCAGGGCACCAGTCCACTGTTTTCGAAGAAATTGGTCAGATTAGGAAATATTTAAGATTAAAAAGCACATAGACAGTTGAATTCATGGAAAGGGACTTCAAGTTTCCATAATAAGACAGGTTATGGAATACCATAGAAGCGAAAATTTCAGCGAGACATAAATTTAGCAATTTCTCCTTAATAATTGGTATTTTATTTTTAGCGATAAGTAATTTTAGCCATTTTAAAATGCTTAGTAAAGAAGCTATTACAAATAAAACGCAATTAATTTTTAGGGATATTTAATTTTAGCGAACTCAGCACCCTCGCCAATAATGCCAAAATTAAATCCTTGCTAAAATTTCCACTTGTACAGAGTACTGTACAGCAGGAAATTAACTTGCGGAGTTAATTTTCGCTATATTCGCGGAAAAAGAAATTCCGCGAATTCAACATACAGTGAATAATTCTTAAAAAGTATTATAAAGATAAATTGAAATTTTTCTGTGATTAGATGTAGACTGTCTTTATAATTATGCGAGTGCCTGGATCAATTACAAACATGTAGTTGTTGCTGTTTTAAAAGCTTATTAATTGTTTAATTCATTTCTATAGCTTACGATTAATTTTGCCATCTAGTAGAAGTGCGATGTAATTATTTAATAAAACATGTTTGTTTAATTTCACCCGTGCGTATCACTCAGTCATTACCTTTAGTCAAGGCATTTACTTAGTAAACAGGGTAACGACAATTAATTAATTTCAATTATATGATTAAAAGTTCAACATTTTTACTACGGTATAATTTTTTTTCTGATTTGGACCTGGAAATAAATAAAAATTAAATGCGTAGCATTATTTTGACTTCAAATCGGGATCAGTCCGGTGTTTAGTTATTATTCAATCGGGATCAAAATCGACACAATATATAGACTTTACTTTTCTGTCCGAATGCGCGATATACAGCTCATATACATTACAGACTTTCGTAATATATTCTATAGAGACGGGAAATAACACTTCACACAATATATACCTACAGAAAAATGCTTGCAAGTACTGTTTAAGAAATTTATGTTTTTTTCTTTTCCGCGAATTCAAACGACCGCGATTTGCTGAAAATTGAACAAATCGCGATCTTTTCCGACCGCGATTTTAACCTGCTATACAGTATAGATTCAGGATTATACAAGTTTCATTATAGATCATTATTTACAGTGAACAGTGTTAATTATATAAGGAAGTCAGTGCATGACTTTATGCACACGTTTCAGAATTAAGTCTTTCTATTGGATAAGAAGGTTAACTTTATATAAGTGATCTTTGATGAAAATGTTACATGTATCTTAATTAATGAGACATTTAATAGGCCATCTTCAAGAAAATTGTTTGTTTGCCGGGTCTTTTTACAGACTGATTAAACCTGACAGAATGAAAACTAGATTAAACCTACAGAAATTCTGATTTTCTTAAATCTTGTTAATTCATTCCAGAATTTTTACAACCCATTACAAACTATGTAAATTTATTAATACTAATAATAGATTTTGAGTTTATAATTTAAAGTGTACAAAATGTAAAAAATTTCTGGGAAAAATAAACAAGTGTATAAGTTTAGCTATGATGTCTTCACTTCTTGGTAAAGCAATTTCTTTTCTTACAAATTGTAATTTGTCATTCTTTCATACCAGTCTTTATGTCTGAAAAGTAAAATCCTTTAAGAACCATTTTGTATGACCTTTGACCCCATTAAGAAGAGAATTCAATGACTGCAATAATTGATTTGTGATGTCATGACATGTAAATAGTCCAATTTATCTTGTATTCTTTGCCTGAAGTTAACAATCATCAAGAAAATAAATAAGATTGGACATGGTACCATTGTATAGGCATTATAAATTGATTGGGTCATTCTTATCTCGCATCTTTTTTAGCTTCAGCTTTATTAAGTGAAGACTGAAAAATTAATACTTTTAAAAATATTGAATCGATCAGCCTAGGAAAAAATCACATTTCCTGAGGGTTATGGTTTTGGGAAATATGATTTTCTTCATTGAATAAATGAATCATACTTCAAGAACAACCATGAAATAAATAGTTGATTATATGGGAAACATGCCAACTTTTAAAAATTGAGCATTCTCAATCTTTCAAATTCCGTGCTGCTTTCAAATGCCCTTTTAATGATTAAGTCTCCTCAAATTTAAGTCCCTTATGCACACTTCAAGAGCAATATCCTTGATTTTTTGGTATTTTCAGCAACCTTATTTGAAAAGGAGATCTCAAATTTTGTCACCACCTTTAAAATGAAACTTTTCCATCATTTGAGGTGATGTGATTTTGGATGCTTTTTGCATTTTTTTTAAAACATACAATAACTCTGATTGGGACCCCCCATCGTCTCAAGCCACGGTCCGCAGTCCGCATATAGCTCTCTCCTACCTGTGGCTGCTTGATCACAAAAAGTGTCGTAATCTTGAATATTTACGCCTCCCTATTGTGACGTCATATTCAGTCAATGACAAGTTTTGTTTCCATCGCATCGCAATTGAAATCAACAAATTACATCAGCAGTATTTCGTACACTGTGATTGGGCATTAAAAGGTCGCATGAAAGGTCAATTTCCGACTATGCTTTACTCGCATTGGTCAACACTCTAATGAGCTACAAGATATTCTCGTCTCATGCACCCACGGCCAGAATGGGAGAGGATCGTCGATGGGGACCCCCAAATGGGGTTAAAAAGGATGAAAAATATGACAATGACAGGGAAATATAGAATTCGATTGTCCTATCATGTGACTATTTAAAACCTAGTTAAGATACAGTTATGATAATTCTTTTCCTTTTTTCAGAGCCACGATTCTGTTAGGATATCTACCTCAAGAGTTATTAGGAACCTCAGTTTATGAGTTCTACCATCAAGATGATATTTCTGTAATGTCTGATATACATCGAAAAGGTAAAACCACAAACTTACTTCTTACATTACACTGTTTTATCAAAAAGCAAATACTTAAACATTACATTGCAAAGCATTAGAATTTTTAAATCACAGACATAAAAAATAAAAAATTGTACTGGGTATCCAATTTTAACAATGCTGATAATGTATTGACTGGAATGTTGTAATCCTTGGCAATAACAGAATATTCTATCTTACGTCTGTGAGAAGTTTTGTTCCAACTTCGGACACCTTTCCTTCTTATAATCCTGTAATCTGAAATTAAGGGGAATGTAGTTTTTGGCCTGTCTGTCTAACTGTCTATTTTCAAAAACTTCACCCTGGATATAACATCAAATAGTTAGCACCAGTGCTGTCATTTTTTCACATGCTTGTTCCCCTTGACCAACCTTTGTTGGGTAGCAACATCTTTGACCTCTTGAATTCGGAGTTTGACCCACTTTGGTAAATCTTCATCTGTCTTAATCCCTAGCCACTTCATTTGAACAGTTGGTGCTAGGGCTTTTACGTTTTGTGTGTGTATTTCTTGTGACAAAACCTTTCTTTGGATACCAACATTTTTTTAACCTCAGTTAATAAAACTCTTAATATTTTCTTTACAGACAACTAATTTATTGGTTTTCATTATTGTGTACTCTATTGGCCTAAACGAAAGCAGTGTATCACCACATATATTATGTTATGTTTTGATATATCTTGTCATAAAAATATGTCTCATCGGCTATTTACTGGTTATTTGGTCAGTCGGATAAAAGGCCGGTGCACTGGACTATTTTGACCAAATTTCTGAACCCGTATAACACATCTAATATTAATTGGAGGGAAATCTATAATGCAGTTTTTGACACATTCAGCCTAATAAATCATTTTTAGTGTGACCTTCGCTAGTGGAGCACATAGAGTATGCGTGGGGACCCTAGGTCTGAGCATTGACCATTGTGGTTAATTATCATATCATCTATCATAATTATGATTGAAGCTAAGGACAACAGATTTATTGATATTAATCATTGGTTAGATTATATATACAATTACATGGATAAGCATTCTATAACATTTGCTTCATATAAGAAAGAGTAGACTAATTGCATGACCTATTCTCTCTGTCTCAGAGTCTCTCTCTATATGCTATATATATACATGTATAATAAATGATATATGAATGATATTTATATTTCTTTATTTTTCCCTTTCAGTTTTAAAGTCAAAAGAGAAAGTGAAATCAAATGTGTACAGATTCAAAATTAAAGATGGTTCATTTGTTCACTTGCGATCAGAGTGCTTCAGCTTTCGGAATCCATGGACAAAGGAAGTGGAATATATTGTGTCAACGAATACTTTTGTACCGTAAGCAGATCCAATATTAAGTTTAAATCATCAATACATGTACGATTCCCACTTATTATGAAATTTTCCAAAGATATGTTCAGTCTAATTAAGATTTATTTCTTGTAAATATTCATTACCACTTATTCCATAAAACAAGTATCAAAGGTGTAAAATTATCTCAACTTTCTGAATTTCAAACTTTTTTAATTCTATATAGTATTTGGGTGGGATAATTTCGAAATTTCTGTCAATAAACATTTCTAAATTTACGAAAAAAAAATTTACTGGGAATGTATTTGGATATTTTAGTTCAAAAATCTAAACATTCAAATTTCCAAACACTTTTTAAAAATAATACAATTTTTGTTTGTATTTTATCTTAAACTTCCTAAATTCAAATTTCATCAGTTCATAATTTTACAAAGGTGAGCTGCTCTGTCAACCCCCACAACTCAGTGGTAGTTATCTTAATTTTAACATTGGTTTCTACATAACTAACAACCCCAAAATGTACAACAAAGAAATAAACAACATGAACAAGGTCAAATACGTTATATCATGTTATATACTCCGTAAAAATTGTGAGAAAAATGTCAGATTCTATATTTAATATTTTGCATCTAAGATCTTCACTGCTCCATATATCACCATTTGCAATGTCTAAATAGGAATATATTAATATAAAAATAATTAACTACAATATTACTAAAATCTGGTCCTCATGCATATACATGTATATACAATGGGACTAATCAGTTCTAGTTTTAGAAGAATTTATTTTTCAATAAATCTGAACATATATTTGATGCACTAAGTGATGGTTTTCTGAGTAAAACCAGTCAGGTACAATCTATATCATTTTGTTTACCCCCCCCCTTTCAAGAGAAGCCACAAAAAAAATGCCTCATAATAATTGTACATTATATTATGCAAGGACGTTCATTCCCCTGGTCATATATATCAGTCAGAGTACTAAAAACATAAAAACAATTTTGGTGTCAGTTGGTAATCAGTATATAAAACCTTTTTTACCATGGTTTTTAGTATCCATCTCGTAAGTTATGCAGGAATTGTAAGTAAAGCTTAGAGTGGCATAGGTTTTTAGCATCCCATCTCATTAGATATGCAAGTATTGTACACTAAACCTAGAATGTCCAATGGTTTTTTTGCATCCATCTCATTTGATATGCAGTCAACAATCATATATTTTGTGTTTGGAAAACGTTTGTTACCCCTAGTATGAAGACCAACTTTATTTTTAGCTCTGCTGGTTGGAGACCAGAAGAGTTTTTGCAATGGTGAAGTTTCCATCATTCATTTGACAGATTGTCTGCATGTTAACAATTTTTCCAAAAAAAAATCTATTCCACCTACATGCAGTTTTAGTCCAATCTTAGTGACTTGATAAACAAGAAGAATATGCTACCACAATTTGATATATAATTCTCTTTGTCATTTTTTGTTTAAAAAAAAAATGGTATTGTCATATTGTTACTAAAAATAGAATTATTTGTGACATACTTCCCTTCAGATTTGGTCCAATTACAATACGACTTGTTACTCAAGTAGACTTTACTAAGGTACATAATTTTGAACACCAGTTTGTTTTTTTTTGATTTTGACAAAGTGTGTTGCAAAGTGACTTTACATATATTGTTATTGCCTTAACTTCGAATTTTCAAGATCAAGTCCCCTTTTTTTTTTATTATTATATAACCAGCAGAGCTACTGTCTCACTGAAGACTTCTGGTTGAAAGTCTGCAAATTTTTAAGAGACAGTTCAAAGTGTAAGAAAACTCATGATTCTAGAGACAATCAAAGCTTATTGGTTGCTTTTTTTTTAACATAAAAAAGTTTATTTTCCTGTCTATAAACTTCGAGCTTTAGAAAACAAATCAAATATGCAGTCATAATTATGATAGCAAGAATAACTGTATGGAGGGATATTTTACCATAGTTTTATTTTGTCGTTTTCACACTTTACAACAGTTCTTTTCTATTTTGTATTCAGCAAGAAACGTACATGAAAAAATTCTGTCTTATTTGAATTATCCATATGTATACAATTTGCATGCCCACTTCCAACAAGGAGGAAAGTGGTGAAAATAAAATGGAAGTTGAAAATTTCCCTATGTAAGAAGTCAAGTTTTTTTACGATTTGTGAAAAACCTTTTTTTTCACTCTTAGGGAACAGGAGGTCACGAGCTCAGGTCAGAGTATGGATGCAGGGTCAGAGGTCATGGAGGGCAACTGTAACTGGGAGTATAAAGAAGGTTAGAGGTCAAACTTTGAAACCTAATTAAAGTCATGTTGTACAAAAATGAATTCTTATGTTAATTTAGAAATTCTCTAGACAAAGTTTATTACGTTAATGTTTTATGAATAACAGTTTTAAAGTAGGTATACATGTGCAGTTTAACAATGTAAAGGCTTTAAATTATGTCACAAATATTTACAAATTTTATGCCTACTTTGAGTTCTTGTCTTTCAGACCAGCAGGCAGCAATGGCTGACAAGCGGAAAACCGGGACATCAGCTGTTGCCACGGGAACCAAACTGGGTGCTGGGAGGATAGGTCGACAAATTGCGGAAGAGATGATAGAAATGCAAAGGTATATAGTGCATATTATATGTACATAGATTATTATCTCTTTCACAAGTGATTAGTCACAAAATGATGTCTTTATAAACCTTTTATTTTTAATCTCTAAAAATTCTTCCCCATTAACAAATGAGAGTATATTCATGTGTATGGGTATGATCCTTTGCAAAGTGGAAATGCAGTTAGAGGCAGCATCTGACTTTAGAAAATTAATGGTCCATTTTCTGGGAATAAATATTGTATGTAAAATCTTTGTTCAGAATTCATGCATTTATACTTGAAATCTTAAGAGGTCAGGTTTTCAGAAATTCTTTCTACCATTTAAATAGCTTATTTGCCCAATTAGTCAACGACAGAAGAGGTAATGTTAATGAATATTTAATAAAATGTGTATTGTCCATTTGTCTGTTGGCCTGTCTGTAAATGTTACTTCTACTACAGTTTTGGGGATAATGTACTTCAAAATAAGGGAACATAATTATGTGAATCTGCTCCTGAAAAATATTGCCACATCTATGAATGCATCTTTCAGTTATTCTTTGTTGTGGGAGATAAATCTACCAAAGGATTAATCAATGTACCATCAAAGTTCGTGGATATATAGGTTATGAAACTGTAGAAAATTAATTTTTTCATTTGATTTTCTCAAAGGAAGCCTTCTTCTTACTCTGGAGTAATGATCTTCCTCTTAATATAGTCATAAAAATGCTTGATTTGGTTATTAATTATCAGGAATGGTTGTGTAAGCAGTTATCAAGTTATTTATAGCAATGACTCGTGGACTTTGAATGATCAAACTAGACATAATTGTGCTTGTTGCCATGGCAACAGTAGGATTTTTTTAAATATCAAAAGAACCTCTGATTATGAGGCTTGATAATTAGCTTTTTTATATATACATAATTTTATTGCTTGTGGGTTTCTTAATGCCAGAAAAATTGACATTTAGATAAGTGCAGAAAGGTCATTATTTAATGCAAAGTAAGGCTACCTAAATTTAATTCTCTGGTTCTCAGGCCAATTTTCTCCAAAACAGATGCTAGAGGGAGGCATTTTATTTATCATTTGATTGGCAATGAAGTAGATGAGGGAGGTATTTTTTTTATTTTAATTTTCGAATTTTCTTTAAAGGTACTTGGACAGAGATTTGAAGTTAATATTTTTGTATAATATCACGAATTACATATTTTAATAGCATTTCACACAAAAATTAATTTAAAATCTTCATTTAAAAGTTATTAAAACTTTAAATTTTTTGGCGGGTTTGATTGACATATCGTTGCACCTTCACAAATTTTAACTTTTTTCTTAATCCTTAGGAAAAGTGGCAATCTTGTTGTGTATTAATGAGAAATATTAAATTAAAAACTTAAATCCAGAAAAATAATTTTATTCAGAGTAGAAATGTTAGAAAGCAAAACTCCTTTACAAGTATCGTCATTCCGTTGTGTACAGAGTTTAGCAAATAGAGCACACTCGTGTTATGTACACAGTTTTTGTAAACAGGGCACGAGCTCTGTTATTGATTGTTGTTTTCTATTCACTGGGTGCGTTCAATTGCCAAAGTCTGCTCACCACAACTGCATGGGCTGACAATATATTGTGTGTTTGTTTTGCTTTCGAACATGTCTACTCTGAATTTTCTGGATTATAGTATTAATATTTTTATGCCCCCCTTCGAAGAAGGGAGGGCATATTGCTTTGCTGCTGTCCGTCGGTCTGTCGGTCGGTCTGTCGGTCGGTCGGTCTGTCGGTCCATTTAGTTTCCGTTCATTTTCTTCACAACCGTTGCACATACTGATATGAAATTTGGTATATAGGTTTATCAGGTAAATATCTAGGTCAAGTTCTGTTTTGGGTATGATCGCGCCATTTTTGTTAGAGTTATGCCCCTTGGACTCGGTAAAATTCCACTTATTTGTAGTTTCCATTCATTTTCTTTGCAGAGGTTGCACATATTGAAATGAAATTTAGTATACAGATATATCAGATAAATATCTAGGTCAAGTTCTGTTTTGGGTACGATCGCATCCTTTTTGTTAGAGTTATGCCCCTTGGACTCAGAAAAATTCCACTTATTTGCAGTTTCCGTTCATTTTCTTTGCAGAGGTTGCACATATTAAAATGAAATTTAGTATACAGATATATCAGATAAATATCTAGATCAAGTTCTGTTTTGGGTACGATTGCATCCTTTTTGTTAGAGTTATGCCCCTTGGACTTAGAAAAATTCCACTTATTTGCAGTTTCCGTTCATTTTCTTTGCAGAGGTTGCACATATTGAAATGAAATTTTGTATACAGATATATCAGATAAAAATCTAGGGCAAGTTCTGTTTTTTTTACCATTGCATCCTTTTTATTAGAGTTATGCCCCTTGGACTTAGAAAAATTCCACTTAATTGTTGTTTCCATTCATTTTTTTTTTTTTTTTTTGCAGAGGTTGCACATATTGAAATGAAATTTTTAGTATGCAGATTTTTCAGCTGAATATCTAGGTCAAGAAATGTTTTAGGTAGGATCGCACCATTTCAGACAGAGTTATGCCCTTTTGGACATAGAAAAATTCTAATCTGGGGGGCGGGGGGCATAAGTGTTTTACAAACATCTCTTGTTCATTAATACACAAAAAGATTGCCACTTTTCCTAAGGATTAAGAATAAAGTTAAAATTTGTGAAAGTGCATGGATGTGTCAATCAAATCCGCCAAAAAAATTAAAATTTTAATAACTTTTAAATGAAATAAGATTTTTAATTAATTTTTGTGTGAAATGCTATTAAAATATATAAGTTGTAATATTACAGAGAAAATATTAACTTCAAATCTGTGTCCAAGTACCTTTAAAATAAAGATAATTTTTATTTCACAGATATACTTTCCATGTCTGATCAGAAGGTTTGCTTTATCCATTGCTTATCTGTGTGTGAACATCGTAGGCAATGTCTTCGAATGTATTTTCAAACAAAGTAGCCAAATTCTCTTTGAAAATGGCTACCGGAAGTGATATTTGATTACTAAAGTAAACTACGAAAAAATGAGGATGAAACTTTTTTTTCTGGATTGGTCTCCACAATACCAACTTTTTATTTTATCAAAAATACAATAAAATTAGCAATGCGGCAACCTTAAAACGGATGTGCGCAGGCCTGAGAACCACAATTTCAATTTTATGTAGCCTAATTGGAGACTTTTTCTTTGTCACATTTTTTTTATGTGTCTAATCAAGGAAGACAAGTCTGTATTTGGTCAAATGATTTATTGGAATAATAATGTATATAATTAAGATTTTACAAACTCTAGATAAATCTTGGTTTTTTTTCAGGGGTTTTAATACCACGCTGGCAGACAGTACTAACTCCGTACCTGTGGGGAGCACGGCCACCATACCTGTAAGTACTACAGCCGAGCAGCTGATCGACTGATATTACAAGATTTATATCTTTTTACTTTTCAATATGAAGATACTTAACAGTACTAAATTTTTATTTAGATCAGTTATAGATTTCGGAGTACTTGCATGGTAAAGATCTGTTATGCTAGAATTATATATAAATCTAATCTTTTTATAAATTATAACATATTATATATTCATGCTTAGGTCAATGGTGGCAGCTCTACGAACATGAGAGACTTGTATTTTATAGCTATTATATTAAATGTTGATATTTGTACATGAGATATATCTATTATCTACAAATCTACATTGTCTTCAAATCTATATACATGTATACCTAGTTCATTGTGTGATAGCTTTTACATACAAATCTACATGTTGGTTCATATAGGTACATGTATTGTATTGGTGGACAGAACATTAGACATACATTGTATAGGAGGCTATTTGTACTCAGATATACATGCTGGTAGTGTTTGTATGTTGACATGTTTATATTTTCCTGTATGGGAAATCAAATGAAAATGGGTTTCAAGTAAATGAATAATGAAGATCTGCCAATTGAAGGGCCAAAAAGTGGTTCAGATTTTGTCACAACCTGTAATTTGAATCATTATCAGTAAAAAAAAAAAAGTAGGGCCACAACTCATATGAAGATAGCATCCTAAAAGCCTTATTATTGAAAATCAAACATGACTAATTTCTTATTTCTTTCTTCCAGGGAAGACATTTTGGTTTGTCTAATGGTCTAGCTGTCAAAGTCCCAGGTAATAATCATGTCTTAAATTTGGTCAAATTTTACATGTAGATAGTACATGTAGCTTATTATTCCCTCTTACTAAATCTTGTCACTGTCTTGTTCCTTTACTGTTAAATTAACATCAAAATCCTTTGTAGTTCCTTGTACGGATCCTCCAGCTGCCACGGCAACAGAGGTGGTTGTCCCTAGTGACGTCGCGGCAACCTTGGCGAATCAGGTGGCCGCCACGCGGAAAAATGGTCTGACAGTCCCCACTCAATCACCTACCACAGGTTTGTTGAGGAAATAAAAGGCTTTTTCTTGAACAATGTGCTTTCAGATTTTTTTAGAACAATTTATTTAAGTGCTCAGAATTTATTGGTTTAATTGATTTTAAAAATCATTTCTTTCTGTGTAAAATTTGTAAAATTCTGTGAGAAATGAATAGGTTTTGTTCAAAATGTTACCAGAAGTATATTAATGCACTTTTATTGCCAGGTAGTGATGAAAATGCAGAATTTGAAAGATATATATAATCCTGTAACAATTTGCAAAAATGCTTCAAACATTTCACCATTAATATTTGTTATAGCGGGAGCGGTGGCGAGTACGTCAGCGGAGACGAATCTGATCGAGGGCGTGATTGCGGAGCAGGAGTCGACAGAGAATGACGCAGGCCAGAGCAGTGAACAAGGAAATGACGAGGCAGCCATGTCAATCATCATGAGTCTGTTAGAGGCAGATGCTGGCTTAGGAGGACCCATCGACTTCAATGATCTCCCTTGGCCACTATAGCTGTGAAATATGGACACGAGTTACTTCCCCTTGACAAGTGAAGTTCACATGATCTTTTTAAGCTCTGTAGAACAGAGATAAAAAGAAGTGTTAACCCAGAAACAAGGGTCATGAATGGACAGGCCCAGTGATCCGGCCCAGATCCACATATTGAGATTAATCCAAACTATTCAGCTCCAGGTTACTCCGGGAAAAGAGAGTGTTCAAGCATGTTATATTTATTTCATGTAATACAGATAGACAAGTTAGGAGCATTTATACCAGCATGAAATTTTGAACAGTGCTAGAGAGCTGTATTTTGTATGGTTTACTGAGCAAACACAGGTTAATGTTATTGTTGGGGAAAATCGTTTATTTTTTAATGAACAGGTCTGGAGGAACAAAGATGATATATCAAATGTCTGTAAAGTTATGAATTTTCTGCATTTGAAAATCTACCGAAGACCTTTTTTTTTGACTATTTAAAAAAAGGCTACAGCTTTATATATTATGCCTAAAAAGGGTACAAGGAATCAAAGTCCTTAACTGACTAACTTGCTAATGTTTAGCACCAAACAAATGTCTCACCATGTAAAAAAAAAAATCCACTGCATAACTAGGTGTTCCGTATGATAGTGCTAGCTCATTACATGAAAGATACGAAATATTGACATCCTCATTTCTCCACAATCGAGCACATTTTGATGAAAGAAATCCTACAGCTTTATATGCAGGCTTTTCAAAATGTTATCATTTTTAATGGAAAACAGCCATGATTTGCTCAACTTTTTGGTACCGGTATATGTCTGCATTTTATGATTATATGCCATTCAGGCTCACCTGAGCCGAGGAATTTTTCTGATCACATAGAAACTTTTCACATTTTCGAGAACCACTGGGCCAATTTTAACCAAACTTGGTACAAAGCATCCTTGGGTAAAGTTTAAATTGTTAAAATTTCTGCATTTGAAAAGACAAAAATAGGGTTGGGTCATTAAAAAATCTTCTTCTCAAGAACCACTGGGCCAGTAAAGCTGAAACGTATGTTTTTGTAGACTATTGTAAATCAAAAGGCTACAGGGCATCAAAGTTTTATATATATAGTCTTTGAAAATCTTCTTCTCAAAAAGGGCCAGTAAAGCTGAAAGCCTGAAACTCAAGCATCCTGGTATAATGTAGATTCTAAATTGTTCTAATGTTTAGCACAAAACAAATTTTATATAGAAATATATAGGAAAAATCTTTGAAAATCTTCTTCACTGGGCATGAAACTTATGTGGAAGCATCCTGGTATAGTGTAGATTCTAAATTTTTCATAGACCCCCGCCACAATAGGGCATCAAAGTTTTACATGAAATATATAGGAAAAATATTTGAAAATCTTCTTCTCAAGAACCACTGGGCCAGAAAAGCATTTTGATGGTATAATGTAGATTCTAAATTGTTATATGCAGGCTTTTCAAAATGTATATAGGAAAAATCTTTTAAGAACCACTGGGCCAAAAAAGTGAAGCTTAGCCAGTGTCATTTAAATTGTAGGAATCTGACCCCCGGGGGAACTTTTTTTTACATAGAAATATATAGGAAAAATCTTTGAAAATCTTCTTCTCTGCCACTTTATGTGCCCATAGAAGGATATATGTAGATTTCAAAATGTCTAAATTATGATCAGTGGGGTAGGGTGGGGATGCATTTTGTATAACAAGGGTAAAATTTTTTTTCAGGTGAGCGATGTGGCAGCTTGTTTTTTATCAGTTTTAAAGTTGTCAAAGAATATTACTTTTTCTGGTGCTTCTGCAGTTGCAACTGTAAATCAAAGGAAAAAGTGGTACCAGTATTTGTAAATTTTTTTTTTAAGGAAAACACCCAGAGCATTATGCAAACTTCATGTTGTGTCATGAATGATGTTCATTTTCTGCAGGAGTTCAGGAGGAATATTTCTGTTAAATGCTCTGATTCTCAAATTTCTGTAAATCAAATTTAAAATTTGTTAATAGTTTGAAATTATTTTTTTTTTTGCAGCAATGAAAATTATTTTTTCCTTGAATATGACGCAAAATCTTTAGACCACAGCAAAAATATACCCAAGTTAAAAAAAAACATAAGTTACAAATCTTGCTGTCATGCTTGTATGGGAAGTCAAGTTGGTTCACTTTAACTTTGGGGCTAAGAAGGATAACTCTGAACATGCAGATAAAAATGGATTTCATCTTCTCATATTAAATTATATGTCCCTTTTTTATATTCCATAAGTGGAATTCATATTTTGTTGAAAATTGTACTTATATTTTAAATATTTTTATTTTTTCACAAAGGAGAACCTTGAATTACCCTGTTATTTGCATTTACTCAGATTGTTTTCAAGTATGTTATGATTAGAAAAATTACAGGAACCAAGAGTTCCATTGGTACATTTAAAAAAATAGCGAAGATTGAATACATCTTCACATATCAAAATGGCAAAAAAGTGAATAAATCTAGTCAGACAATAGTTATAGATACATGTATATGTATGTGTTGAAAAGTGTACAAAGTGTATTATATCTTTTAAAGATTTACTAATTATTTCCTAGTTTATGCTGTGTATGTTAAAAGAATATAATGAAAAAGTTGCTTTATTTTCCATTGAAAGACTTGCACAATTTTCTAAAGAAGTCTTTCTAACAATAACTTTGTTAAAGCAAAGCTTAAAAATTTGCAAAGATCCAGTGGTATCCAGTCTGAACCTAGTCTCCCATTAAGAAATATTTTTAATAGCTTTAAGTTTGATGTTTTCAGTTATCCCCAAGATGCAAAATATTCACTTTTTTCCCCCTTTTAAAAAAAATTTTCTCCCAATCTTTTGCATTTTATTATTTGATAAAATTTTCTTTTTATATTCAAATTTTGACAGAGAAAGGTGCTATTGGTCAACTTTTAATCAAGTATCAGAGATACAAACCTTTGTTAAAAAGTTGCTATCATTTACTGTGAAATCACAAATTTTTGTGTGGGGTTAATTTTCTTTGTTTTCAAGGTCTGAAGAAACCAACAAATTCATGTCCACCACGAAATGTAAAATGTTACATACATAACAACTCAATAATTCTCCATCCACGAAATCAAATCTCCAGGAACCAAATGTTTTTTCCTTAAACCGGGAAAAATTAACCCCACAAAAATATGTAATTTTACAGTATTCATTAATGTATAATGGTCTTTGTTGGATGTGATCACAACACAGTTCCAGCAAGTGGACACAAAACTTATTTGTAGCTGGTTCTCAATCATTGAATGTTTATAAGGAAATTCAGCTTTAGCTGGTTCTCGAATCATTGAATGTTTATAAGGAAATTCAGCTTTATAGTCATCCTTCCACAAAACTACAATCAACATTTGATCGAAACATAGAGAATAATTTATGTGTTTCTTATATTATTAAAATGGCTGCTTACAGAGGACTTAAAAATATACCTCTCTATACTTGTGAAAAAAATTTTGGACAGTGGAAAAACATATCGTACAATGATGTTTTACTTATTTAATTTTCAATATATAGGTAGTATTTATTTACTCAAGGAAAAATATTCAAAGAAAATAGAGTACATGTGTATTAGTAAACATTTATTGCTATAATTTATTTGGGAAAAGTAAATACCAAAAAGTGTCTTTTTAATTCATTTATACTCAATGAAATGTTAAGAATGCTTAAAATTTACATATTTATTAATTGATAATTTTAAATCTAAGGGCAGATCACTGAAACAGCATAAAATACAAAGGAACTGGAATTTAGTGTACAGTTTACATCTGTTCCTACGTTTGACATGTACGAGTATGTTACTTAGATATCTTACCTGTATAATTGTGCAAATTGTTAGAAATCTAGCTTTAATACCTCATTTTCAATTACAGAAAAGTTTAAAAGTTATTAGTCCCTTTTGAAGTGACATCAGCAAATTTTAAAAATATCATATGCATTTTGTTAAGTACTATTTTTTAAGAAGTGTTGTTATTTATATTGTTTATGTTTTATTTCAGATATGTATAGTATTCCTTCATTTTAAAGAAGTATGTTTTGCTACAGTATGCTTTAATTAATATGTCTGGAGGATGTATATATGAGAAATATTATTGTTTGTCATTGAGTGATATTAATCATTGTATGCAAGTTTGATTTAAGCTCACCAAATTGTTAATATATTGGTTGTGTTTTATGTTATAAATTTATGTATAGACTATTTAAATAATAGGTTAAAAAAAAAGAATAAAATATTTAATCCATTTATTTTTTCATTTTATCTGCTCCTTTTATCATATATCAGAAGGATACATATTGATGAGTGCATTGTGACTTTGCCTGGAATTTGGATTAATTCGCAACACAGAGGACCATAAAACTTAGGTGAAATCATTTTTGATACCTGGCTTAGAGACCAGGTCTTCCAACAATTCCCATGGGTACCAATTGTGCCCCATTTTTAGCAGACCAGTTGTGACCCATTTTTAGCAGACCTATTTTTGTATTCATATGACACAGACTTTGTTCATTATCTTGTATGTGAAAAGAAGAAAACACTTGCTGTTGCTTTCAACTGGACATTAAGATAAATCAACAACATACTGTCAATTCACAATGTTTACCAGGCATTTCCATTCTGCATGATGTCGATACAATAAATTCTGGTAAAAGATACCACAGACTCTGACAAATCTATTTTATATTTGGATATTTTAATTGAAAAAGATGTTAATGGTAATCTAACAACCAAGCTTTATGATGACAGAGATGACTTTAACTTTTCAGTCATCAACTTCCTTAATGCAGCAATATACCTTTATCACCTGTATATGTGGTTCATATCTCGCAGTTGATTTGATATGCAATACCATGTTCTACGTATGAAGAATTTCTAAAATGAGGTAAGTTATTGACAAACAAGTTGGTGAAGCAAGAATATAAGCATTCTCATAAGTTCTGTGGTCGATACAATGACTTTGTCAGCAAACACATATTTCATTAAAATAAATGCTAACTGACTTTATTCATACTCTGTTAGGCCATTATTTACACACTGAATTGTCGAAGGATTTTCCCGTTATTTCCCGATCAAGACAAGGAGCACACGGCGGGTGTGCCCTGTCCATGGTATCTGGTTCCATAC